TTCTTCTCTCCTCCTCTCTGGTTCTTCTCCCTCCTCCTCTGGTTCTTCTCCTCCCTCTGGTTCTCTCCTCCTCTGGTTCTCCTCCTCCTCTGACCTGCAGGTGATCCACTGGAACTCTCCAAAGAAACTGCGCGTGAAGAACAAACACGTGGAGTTCTTCAGGAACCTGTACCTGACCTTTCTGGAATACGATGGAAACCTGCTGCGGAGGGAACTGTTCGGCTGCCCCAGCGAGCCGGACCTCAACACGGAACGGGTGAGTGTTCTTCAGCTCCAGAAGAACCTCACAGCTGAACCTTCTCCCCCCTCTGGTTCTGGTTCCTCTGATCTCTCTCGTTCTTCTATTGTTCTTCTGATCCTTCTCTGATTCTTCTCTTCTTCTTGTTCTTCTCTGTTTCCTCTGTTCCTTGTCGTTCGTCTCTGATTCTTCTGATCATTCTCTTCTTCTCGTTCTTCTCTGCTTCCTCTCTGGTTTCTTCTCTTCTTCTCGTTCTTTCTCTCATCTCTCTGATCCTTCTCTCCCTCTGGTCCCTCCCTGGTTCTTCTCTTCTTCTCTGATTGTTCTTCTCTGGTTCCTCTCATCCTTCTCATTCTTCTCTGGTTCTTCTGATCATTCTCTTCTTCTCGTTCTTCTCCAGTTCCTTTGATCCTTCCCTCCCTCTGGTTCTTCTCGTGTGTTTGATGTTTTTTTTTCTCTATCTCTCCTCCCTCTCTCCTCCTTTCCCTCTCTTCTTCTCCGCTGTAGCTCCAGAAGACCCTCTCGGAGCTGGTTCTTCACGTGTTCTTGGCGTGTTTGACCTTCTCTTCTCTGTTCTTCTCCTCAGCTCCCTCGGAGCTCCACGTTTCTTGGCGTGTTTGACCTTCTCTTCTCTGTTCTTCTCCCTCAGCTCCAGAAGACCCTCTCGGAGCTGGACGAGGACGACCCGTGTTACGAGTTCAGACGTGAGCGGTTCACGGTTCACCGGACTCACCTGTACTTCCTGCACTACGACTACACGCCCCCGAGCGACGGAACCGACGTGACGCTGGTCGCTCAGCTCTCCATGGACCGGTGAGACCAGGTTTAGACCACCCCTCTGGTTCATGTTCTTGTTCTTCTGGTTCTTCTCTGGTTCTTCTCTGGTTCTTCTCATTCGTCTGGTTCTTGTTCTTCTCTTCTTCTCTGATCCTTGTTTCCCTCTTGTTCCTCTGGTTCTGGTTCTTCTCTTGTTTCTCTGGTTCTGGTTCCTCTGGTTCTTCTCTCATTCCTTTGGTTCTGGTTCCTCTCTGGTTCTTCTCTTCTTCTCATTCTTCTCTCGTTCTTCTGATCCTTCTCTCCCTCTGGTTCTTCTCTGGTTCTGGTTCTGATCCTTCCCTCGTTCTTCTGGTTCTGGTTCCTCTGTTTCTTCTCTCGTTCCTTTGGTCCTGGTCCTGGTTCCTGACCTGGTCCTGGTTCTGACCCTGGTCCTGGTTCTGGTCCTGGTCCTGACCCTGGTCTGACCCTGGTCCTGACCCTGGTCCTGGTTCTAGTCCTGGTCCTGGTCCTGGTTCTGGTCCTGGTCCTGGTCCTGGTCCTGGTCCTGGTCCTGGTCCTGGTGGTCCCTGGCCCTGGTCCTGGCTGGTCCTGGCCCTTCCTGACCCTGGTCCTGGTCCTGGTCCCTGGTTCTGGTCCCTGGTCTGGTCCTGGTTCCTGGTCCTGGCCCTGGTCCTGGTCCTGGTCCTGGTCCTGGTCCTGACCCTGGTCCTGGTCCTGGTCCTGGTCCTGGTCCTGGTCCTGGTCCTGGTCCTGGTCCCTGGTTCTGGTCCTGGTTCCTGGTCCTGGCCCTGGTTCCTGGTCCCTGGTCCTGCTGGTCCTGGTCCTGCCTGGTTCCTGGTCCCTGGTCCCTGGTCCTGGTCCTGACTGGTCCTGGTCCTGGTCCTGACCCTGGTCCTGGTCCTGGTCCTGGTCCTGGTCCTGGTCTGGTCCTGACCCTGGTCCTGGTCCTGGTCCTGGTCCTGGTCCTGGTCCTGGTCCTGACCCTGGTCCTGGTCCTGGTCCTGGTCCTGACCCTGGTCCTGGTCCTGGTCCTGACCCTGGTCTCCTCTGGTCCAGGCTGCAGATGCTGGAGGCGATCTGTAAGCACTGGGAGGGTCCGGTGAGCCTGGCGCTGTACCTGTCGGACGCCGAGGCGCAGCAGTTCCTCCGTTACGCTCAGGGCTCCGAGGTCCTGATGAGCCGCGCTAACGTGGGGTACCACATCGTCTACAAGGAGGGACAGTTCTACCCCGTGAACCTCCTGAGGAACGTCGCCATGAGACACGTCCACACGCCCTACGTGTTCCTCAGCGACATCGACTTCCTGCCCATGTACGGCCTCTACGAGCGCTCAGGTGAGACGACAGGGACGACAGGGGCACGGGCCTCTACGAGTCGCTCAGGTGAGACGACAGGGACGACAGGGGCGACAGGGCCTCTACGAGTCGCTCAGGTGAGACGACAGGGGCGACAGGGGCGACAGGGCCTCTACGAGTCGCTCAGGTGAGACGACAGGGACGACAGGGGCGACAGGGCCTCTACGAGTCGCTCAGGTGAGACGACAGGGACGACAGGGGCGACAGGGCCTCTACGAGTCGCTCAGGTGAGACGACAGGGACGACAGGGGCGACAGGGCCTCTACGAGTCGCTCAGGTGAGACGACAGGGACGACAGGGGCGACAGGGCCTCTACGAGTCGCTCAGGTGAGACGACAGGGGCGACAGGGACGACAGGGCCTCTACGAGTCGCTCAGGTGAGACGACAGGGACGACAGGGGCGACAGGGCCTCTACGAGTCGCTCAGGTGAGACGACAGGGGCGACAGGGCCTCTACGAGTCGCTCAGGTGAGACGACAGGGACGACAGGGGCGACAGGGCCTCTACGAGTCGCTCAGGTGAGACGACAGGGGCGACAGGGCCAGGGCTCTACGAGTCGCTCAGGTGAGACGACAGGGGCGACAGGGCGACAGGGCCTCTACGAGTCGCTCAGGGTGAGACGACAGGGACGACAGGGACGACAGGGCCTCTACGAGTCGCTCAGGTGAGACGACAGGGACAGGGGACAGGGCGACAGGGCCTCTACGAGTCGCTCAGGTGAGACGACAGGGGACAGGGACAGGGCCTCTACGAGTCGCTCAGGTGAGACGACAGGGGCGACAGGGCGACAGGGGCCTCTACGAGTCGCTCAGGTGAGACGACAGGGGCGACAGGGGCGACAGGGCCTCTACGAGTCGCTCAGGTGAGACGACAGGGACGACAGGGGCGACAGGGCGACAGGGCCTCTACGAGTCGCTCAGGTGAGACGACAGGGACGACAGGGCCTCTACGAGTCGCTCAGGTGAGACGACAGGGACGACAGGGGCGACAGGGCCTCTACGAGTCGCTCAGGTGAGACGACAGGGACGACAGGGGCGACAGGGCCTCTACGAGTCGCTCAGGTGAGACGACAGGGGCGACAGGGGCGACAGGGCCTCTACGAGTCGCTCAGGTGAGACGACAGGGGCGACAGGGCCTCTACGAGTCGCTCAGGTGAGACGACAGGGGCGACAGGGGCGACAGGGCCTCTACGAGTCGCTCAGGTGAGACGACAGGGACGACAGGGCCTCTACGAGTCGCTCAGGTGAGACGACAGGGGCGACAGGGGCGACAGGGCCTCTACGAGTCGCTCAGGTGAGACGACAGGGACGACAGGGGCGACAGGGCCTCTACGAGTCGCTCAGGTGAGATGACAGGTGCGGCACAGACAGGTGCGGCACAGACAGGTGCGGCACAGACAGGTGCGGCGTGTGGAGTTAAAATTATTTTTTTTCTTTGAACATTTAAAAAACATCGACTTTTGTTTTGAGCCAAAATTAAACTGAACTTTTTTTTTTTTTTTCTTAAAATTCCAAAATATTAGAAATAAATCTGACTCTTCCTCCGTCCCTCGGGTGTCAGGTCCAGTTGGACGTGTCTCACTCTTGTCTCTGTCCCTCAGACGTTTGGTCCAGTTGGACGTGTCTCACTCTTGTCTCTGTCCCTCAGACGTTTGGTCCAGTTGGACGTGTCTCACTCTTGTCTCTGTCCCTCAGACGTTTGGTCCAGTTGGACGTGTCTCACTCTTGTCTCTGTCCCTCAGACGTTTGGTCCAGTTGGACGTGTCTCACTCTTGTCTCTGTCCCTCAGACGTTTGGTCCAGTTGGACGTGTCTCACTCTTGTCTCTGTCCCTCAGACGTTTGGTCCAGTTGGACGTGTCTCACTCTTGTCTCTGTCCCTCAGACGTTTGGTCCAGTTGGACGTGTCTCACTCTTGTCTCTGTCCCTCAGACGTTTGGTCCAGTTGGACGTGTCTCACTCTTGTCTCTGTCCCTCAGACGTTTGGTCCAGTTGGACGTGTCTCACTCTTGTCTCTGTCCCTCAGACGTTTGGTCCAGTTGGACGTGTCTCACTCTTGTCTCTGTCCCTCAGACGTTCCGTGGTGCAGTTGGACGTGTCTCACTCTAAAAAGGCTCTGGTGGTTCCTGCGTTTGAGACGCTCAGATACAGATTGTCCTTCCCCAAGTCCAAGGCCGAGCTCCTGTCCCAGCTGGACATGGGGACACTCTTCACCTTCAGGTCAGTCTGGACCGGGTTTAGGACCGGGTTTAGACCGGGTTTAGACCGGGTTTAGGGCCAAGTCCTTGTCCTTGGCTCCTCTTCATGCTCCTCTCTGATTGGCTGTCACAGGTATCATGTGTGGACCAAAGGCCACGCCCCCACAAACTTCGCCAAGTGGCGGACGTCGACGACGCCGTACCGCGTCCAGTGGGAGCCCGACTTCGAGCCGTACGTGATGGTCTCCAGCTCCAGCCCCGAGTACGACGACCGGCGCTTTGTGGGCTTCGGCTGGAACAAGGTCTCCCACATCATGGAGCTGGACGCGCAGGTGAGACCGAGACCAGGACCGGGACCAGGACCGAGACCGAGACCGAGACCAAGAGACCAAGACCGGGACTAAGAGCAGGACTGAGACTGGGACTGAGACCAGGACTGGGACTAACAAGGTCTCCCACATCATGGAGCTGGATGTGCTGATGAGCCAGAGACCGAGACCGAGACCGAGACCAAGACCAAGACCCGAGACTAGGATCCCCAACTGGAAAAGTTACATAGTGCAGCTTTAACTAAACAATAGGGGTGTAACGATCCAAGTGTCACGATACGATATCGTCACGGTCTGAACCTCACGATACGATATTTACTGTGATATGGAGGCTCACGATATTCTACAGAATAAACAGAGTGACATTATAAAACACTGAGTTTCAGTTTCATTTTCAGATCAGTGACTTTTTGAACAGAGTGAAAAAAATTTGACACTGAAGTGAAAAATTCTAAAATAAACAATTGTAATAAAAGTTTATGAGGAGAATTGAGGAGTCGAGTCGTTTAGTCCGACAGAAACTGAACCACATCAGCCACAAGGACGAACTGTTTTTATCAGAGACGTTAGTTTATGTAAATGAGTCATGTGACTTTAAGTTTAGTTTGTGTAAAATGTTCATAAATCTGCATTAAACACTTTATTACTCAGTGTAGATTTGAGTCGTCGTCGTAGGAAATAAAAACAAATTTAAATGTGATGATATTTTATATTTCAGTTCCAGTTTTTCCTCTTAAAACCTTTTAGAGTCGACGTCGTCACCGTGGAAACTGGATCAAATCTCTTTATTTTCTGTGATGTGTTTGTTTTTTCTTGAGCTGTTTGAGGCAGTTCTGGTGTAAAAGTTTCACGTAGAGTTTTTTGTCTCGACTTGATTTAGTGAAACCTTCTTGAACGTTTTGGGCGTGTGGGTTTATCCAGGTCCTTCTCATGTTGGAGTTTTTCTCGCTCTTTGTCCGTCAACTTTTCTCTTTTTTCTCGTTTCTCGTCACAAACACAAAATGTTTGTGGAGCTCAGACTTAAAGTGTCTGGTGCGTCCACAGCGGCGCACAGGCCACCGCCGCCGCAAAGGATCATGGTCCATGTAGTTTACTGAGCAAAACAGACTCAACACTCTGATTTTGATCTAAAGACGCTCAGTTTAATACAAGACCAGACCACGACCGTATCGAGACATCAACAATATCGATATCGATACACCTCTAGTAAAAAACCTTTCCCATGTTGACCTTTTCCTCCGTCTGTTTCTCCGTCTGTTTCTCGTCTGTTTCAGGAGTACGAGTTCGTGGTTCTTCCAAACGCCTTCATGATCCACATGCCTCACGCTCCGAGTTTCGACATCACCAAGTTCCGCTCGAACAAACTTTACCGCTCGTGTTTACAGACGCTGAAGGAGGAGTTCCAGCAGAACATGTCGCGCCGCTTTGGATTCGCCGCACTCAAGTACATGACGGCGGACAACAACAGTTAACGATGCCGCGATCGAGGACATGACGGCGGACGACGACAGTTAA